TTCACTCTCAGCCACCGTAATTCCCTGCTGGCTGGACTCCTCCCTCAAATTCAGCCACTACATTTAACACACCGCCAAATACAAATTCCAAACATTCAAGGCTTCATCCCTGCTGCCTTCCCAGCTGAACACCAGTCAATCTTCATTCTTCAGCAATTAGAAGCCTAATAATTGATGTATTTACCACAACAAATTGTTGTCCAGCAATTTCTGTTGTACGCCTTGTCATACAAACCTTTCTAAAGTTAAAAAAAAAAAAAGTTGTTGTCCAGGGATTCCAGGAGTTTTGGAGCTTGCAACCTCTCTCCTACCAAGAGAAAATCTGAGATTCTTCTCAGGTTTTGGGCAAAGAAGTTGGACTTTCTTTCAGTTTTCGGAGAGGCTCAGGTTTTGATTCAAAACCTGAAGGAAATTTTCAGATTTTGTGAGACACTTGGAGTTGTCAATCATCCCTAGCAAAGCCTCCTACCCGTTCTACATCAGTGCCGTTTTATGTGACCAAACCATCTAAGGCGACTCTTTCTAATCTTATCATCCACTGGATCTACTCCAACCTTTTCGAGTATATGCTCATTTCGTATCCTATCTGGGTAAAGCCACTCATCCACCTGAGCATCCTCATCTCTGCAACACTTACCATAATATTATGCTTCTGTTTTAATGGCCAACATTCGACATCATAAAGCATTGCAGGTCTCACCACCATCCTATAGAATTTTCCCTTAAGTTTGAGGGGGGCTTTTCTATCGCACAACAAGCCCGATGTATTCCTCCACTTCGACCATCCAACTTAAAATTTCCCTTAAGTTTGAGGGGGACTAATCTATCACACAACAAGCCCGATGCGAAAACTACCAATCAATTAAATTTTGTTTTTTTGAGTAGGGCATAGAAATTTGCCTGTCCAGGAATGACGTTGCTTGCACTTGGCCAACAAGATATTTCACCAACTGTACAGACCAAGGCTGCAAATGATTCTGTTGGAATTCCATCATATTGCTCATCATATGACAAGAAATTTTGGGGATGTTTGCAAAGCGACTCCAAAAGAACAATTAGATCAGAAGCAGCAACCATTGGATCACGGCGCATAAACATTGGAACAGTGCCTGCATGGCCTTGAGAGCCTTCAACTGTAACCTGTAGAAAAACTAGTTCACATAAACAGCCATCACAGAATTTAATTTGAAGTACTGCGTAGCTTAAACAGCCATCACAGAACTTAATTTAAAGTACCTCATATCCACTAATTTTATGCATACTCAGAAAATAAAGTAATGTCAGCACAAAGTAGATAGGACTTTAACTAATAAACTAAAAATAAATCATAAAACCTTCAGTCTTGTTTGTCCAGCAATTCCTTTAACAACACCAAGAGGATAAGCAAGCGATTCGAGCACTGGACCTTGTTCAATGTGTACCTATTGCAGAGTTTATCTTGTGTTCATTGATATTTTGAAATATACCAAGTTTATATGACAGATTATGTGTACCTCAACATAACCAAAGACTGAATCTGGGTCATACTTGACCTTAGCGAAACTTTCTTCAGTAGCCTCAAAAGAATTTTCCAAGAGAGCATCTTGCACTGAAATACCACTGTAGAAGTTGCATGTATTACCTAAAGAGCGGAAAGATCGCATGCGAAGTATAGCAGAAGTTAAGAAAAACTGACCTTTTATCTGTTATTTTTAACGCTGTTGCAGGGAGAATACCAGCCATAGCAGCACTACCCAAAAAGGTAGTTTGAAACCTGACACCTTCTTCATCGCTGAAGGCAATCACCTACATGTTTGATGAAAATTTATAAAAGAATTTTTCTCCAGACCATCACTCAGATAGAATATTAAACATACTAAAACAAAGCAAAAGAAACACCAATTAGAATCTATCTTTCTAAGTGAAAGCGGATTTAATATATGTCTCTGTTAAATCATTCGAAAGATTGAATATTAAAACAGTACGCTATTGAATGTACAAGCAAATAAATCATAAACCTTTTTGATAGGATTTCATAATATGTAAAAGGAGTTCAATTCAGCAAATTATGACACAGAACAATTTAGACTTTGTTTGGTTCCCCCAATAATTTTTTCATTCTTAAACGGAGGTATTACAACGGAGAAGTAGAATTTTTTTTTCTTCTCAGATCGGCGAAAATACGAAGGTATAGCAAAAGGTGTTTTGAAGAAGTCACGTAAACAAACAATAAAATAGTAACTTTTTCACCTATTGAAATCGGAAACGGAAAACTTACGGCCAACCAAACGAGGCCTTAGGATGATTTCTCCATTTTCAACTTCTGATAAAAAATGAATACTGATGCCAAAAGCAAAGACAGATTGCTAACCTCAACTGGTCGACTAAGTTTCCCAAGCTTTCCAGAGACCTTCAAAACCTTCAAAGCAGATACTGCACAAATGATACCTAGTGACCCATCAAACATTCCAGCATCAATGACAGTGTCCTGCATTAAGTTCGAAAGACATTATTAATAATCAGCTAGAATGACAATGCACCAAATGAGACGGAAGTTAAAGGTAGTACCATATGAGATCCAATCAGCAAAGCCTCTGCAGTTGCATTCACTCCTCCAGCTCTACCATGTACGTTGCCCATATAGTCCACCCACCTAAAGTGTTAATGATAACAAAAGAGGGGAATATATATAAAAATGACTGAGGCGGAACCAATAAAGGAGGCCATGAAAAAAAGCATACGTTTTCAACCCAGCATCTTCCATCCATTTTTGAATCAAATTTCCAGCTCTCATGGAGGCAGGGCTTAAAAATGTCCTCTCAAGATAATTATCAGCATCTGATACCTGTTTAAAGAAACATTTTCTGATATGGTTTTCTCCCTCTCACGCAATGATAAAAACAATATACCAATTTGCATCTCATAGTACCATGAAAAGAACAAATACATGAAATATCCTGTCAACATATACTAAAAAGGGACTAAACATGATCAGATATTACTTCGGCAGTATAGATAGCTGCTAAGGAATGCATATTTTTCTATTTTGTCCACTCATAAACTCAAAAAACACAGCAGGAAGAAATAACTGGGAATGATATCCAACTATATGCCAATTAGGCAATTCTAAATAAGGCAACATTACAACATGAAACCTCAAGTAGTCACTAAGGAGGGCAACATGGGGGTTCCGCATCAAATTGTACATCAAAATAAAAATCTTGGTCAAGTAGTACCTATATTTTAAGTACTGTTAGGAAATACTTGTAGAAATTCAAGAAAAGGGTTGGCTGAAATTGAATTTCAGCAAGGAGAAAAACAGCTGTTACAAAGAACAATATGTCAAATGTAGAAGAAAACCTTCATGATTGATGAATTACGGAAGAAAACAAACAAGATACAATAGATCTTCTGATGTAATACCACATGCAAAGGAGCTTCTTAAGAAAATTAAAAGTGATTGACAAGTGAATTACAATTAAGAGCTTATTGAGATAACAAGTGAAATCATTAAAGGTTCTTAGTTGTTAACTAGCTTAGGCGAAGAAGTACACATAGATTAACCAAAAACTCATGGATAACCAAGGATAGTAGCAATACCAAAAGCTATTAATCAACAATCCGCAATTTAATAACGAGAGTTTCACCTTGGGGAATTGATCACTCAACTACACTAGGCTTAGCAGGAGAAGATCTTCAGCACACCAAACAATGCCATGAGGGAGGTTGCAACGCCGATGGTCTTGAGCCACGGAAAGGTTGACGGTGACGAGGATGGCGTGAATGCTTGACTATCAACGGTCCAATCGTAGCTTGAAAATCGTCGGCCGATGATGCTCACCAGAATCGGGACGACTCGCTCCAAATATTCTTCCACTATGGCGTCATTTTCAAATCCTACGTCAAAGCACGAAGATCGTAGGATATTAATGCTTTCTTCGGCGTCGAATACTAATCCCCACTCAAACTCGGCATCCACCATGCATGCTTGGCGTTGTTGAGAGAGCACCAAAGAGAGGAGGGGAGGTGGCGGGATCTCCAAGGGGAGATGGTGAGGCCGGCGGGTGCAAGGGAGGAGGGAGCTTGGGTTTGGGAGAAGCTAGGTTTAGTGGAAAGATAAGGGATTTAACCAAACCTAAAATTTTAATCTCAGAGATGATTAGTTAAAGGGGATTGATTTGAATTTTACAATTCAAATAATGGGAATTAATGCATTGAATAAGGGTTTAATGGATGGGGGCCATATATGGGGGCCGGCGGTTTCATTAGAGGAGGGAGGGAGGTTTTAAACTCAAAATCTGAAATTAATTTCATGATTTTAAATAGAAAGGGTGGGAAATTAATTTGAAATCAATTTGATTTCAAATTTGGGGAAGGGGAGTTAAGTAGCAATTAATGGGATTAATTCCTACTAAGGGGCCGGCGGCATGCTAAGAGGAAGAGAGAGGGAAATCCAAGAGGAAAGGTTTCCAACTTTAGGATGATGACGTGGAAATAAAAACAAAGACTCCAATTTAATTTAATTTGAAATTAAGACTCATTCAAAAACTTTCCTAAATTAGATTTCCAAATTAGGAAAGAATTTGAAAATTGAATTTCAAATTTCAAAATCAAAGCATGCGGAGGGAGTATCGGACGGACGGGAGGCTTCGCCGGCAAGTGGCCGGTCGTGGCCTTGGAATTGGTCGGCGGCGGACTCCACTAGAGGCGGCGGCACAAAGGCTTTGGGAGAAAATTATTTGGGGTGGTAGAGGAATAAAATTGGAGGAAATACGATCGCAATGATAGAGGGATTAGCCACGAATCGAGGACTCTTCCAACGATTGGTGGGTCTTGCGGTTTGCTCCTCCTGAGCTCTCTCCCTTCCCTAGCTCTCATGCAAGAAGAAGAAGACAAATAGGAAATTTTCATTCAAACATTCATTAGCTATTACAAGAGAAAAGACCCATATATATATAGGTCTCAAGCATACAAGAAGAAATAAAGACTAAATTGCCCTCAGGGCCCAACATGACTCAACTCAACATAAGGGTACAATAGGAATACAATAAAATAAAATGCATAAACAACTAGAAATATAAGCTCTGAATCGTGGCCATCGATCTGCGATGCTTCCGACGATACACATGCTTGAACCTCTGATCGATGACCTCATCATCTTCAATTCAAGAAGAAGATCCGGCTTTCCAATCCCTAGCCACTGGCAAGAGCCCAAATAACCAAAGAGAAAACTAAGTTCAACCACACAAAAGATCCCTAACCCTAGCAAAAAACTTTACTTAAAGCATACAATCATGAAAGAAATCCCAAAACAGCCCCTCTTGAAATTTCCCTAATAACCCCTAAATTCCTACTGCTAGACGACTGGACCCCACCCCGAAGATGTCGACAACTATTCGCCTCTTGTAGAATAAAGACGGTCCAGGATGGACTGGCTAAACCGGTCCAGAGACCGGTCTATCAACTACATACTTTAGAATAGCCATGAAATGGATCCTCAAAATAATAAGCACAAAACTTACAAGATAATAGTTTCATTCTTACTCAAATTCGAATTGACTTCAAATGGCTTGCAATTGAGTAAAACATAAAAAATATAAATGAATTTGAATTTTTCACATAACATTTAACCTCCAATAAATAAATAAATATAAACAAAATGCATATTTATATGCATAAAGCATATATAAATTGAGTTGATTAAAATATAATTTCAAAGGAGCCAATCTAGACTCAAAACCACAAATTTGACTCAAGATTCAACTCAAAATATCTTGAGTGTATTTAGAATATACCCCAATATCGAGTGAGTTTTAAGCAAGCATTGAGTTTCAATTAATATTATCACTGCTAACATCGACCAAATATTGAGTACCACCAAAAAAAAAAAGGAAGAGATGAGCGAGTTCCCAAGGGAAACTACAAGGAGCCTATTGTTGGGAAAGGCCTCATTATAGGGAAGGAAACCCGCCTACTTCTTGCTAATTAATGTCAAATCAAGTTCTTAACACTATCAATGCTCATTTAAAATTGGAAGCATGCAAAAAGCAAAAACTCTCAAATACTACAAACAAAGCATATTGATTACAATCTTAAATGCAAACAAAAGGAGAATAGGAAAGGCCAATGGAATAAGCATTTTGAGAATTAGCAAAAACATAACATTCAATCAAAGAACCTCAACATCACCCTAGAAGCAATGAGATGAGATGGCATGGACTGTCAAATTCTACAGTCCATCCTAGTTGTACAAATGGACTCATTCCTAAACCCACCTTTTGAAAGACAATGGAATGGATTGAGGCTCTAAATCGTCTTTCAAAGGACCATTGTTCGACCCAGAAGAGGTTGCTGAGAAGGTTCAATCTAGACAAATATTTCTTTGTATTTAATGGCATTGCTAACCAAATTATAGGGCATAATAACTTAGTAAGCAGGCATGTTGATCACTCTCCCTTAAACCACCCCATGGAATGACAACCACCATGCTCTCCACGAACGAGCATGCAGAATTTCATCGAATTACTTAGCCCCTGCAACCTCAGAAGATACAAGCAGCAATATGCACTCAAACTACTCGTAATAGCTAATTGTGATACTTTTATTCATCTCAGATTTTCTTTTATGAGAAAGAACAGAAATACTATTCCTCAGAATTACAAAACCATTTAATAATATAACAGCAAAGTATAATAGTCATCTGCAGTAGCTAGAGAGCATTGTAAAATTTATCTTCTTCTCAGATCCTTGATATCTGCAACAATCAGATTAGAAGCCTAACCATCTAAACTCCAAACAGTTTTCAAACTTCAACTCTACAGAATAAGACAAAATAGTCCCATTTCAAGAGTATTCCATTAAATAAATCCTCAGAGGCATAAAAATTAAAAACATGAAAATCATCATAGCATCGATATAAATAAACCAATCTTCCAAAGCACCCTACCAAGGATCTTTTCATAGATAAGATACGTAAATCCAAATCACGCAGCATAGTTCGTAGATTTTTTTTCAGAAAAAATGAAAAAACCATATACTCCAACCTTTCCTAGCTGATAAATTCTATCAACAGCCTCATCTCTCAATATATCCAAGAACAGCTCTTCTTCAGCAATTCCTTCTCTTCCCGTTCCTGAAAGCACACCGTAAAATTTTTCTCAGGACTTCCAAAAATAAACAAAATGATTATACTTGCAAGAAACTAAATCAAGAATAAAAGTCTCATAAAATCAAGGATTGGAGCACCTGCAGAGCACAGAAGCGATAGGAGAAGCGTAACATAGAAAATCAGGGGTTTTAGGCCATTGAGAAATGAGAGGGATGCCCTTCGCCTTAGAGGACGAGCCATCGGACTGACTCTCCTCCTCCACTGCGAAGTGCGAACCGCCGGACAATTTTGTGGAGAGGGAGTATATGGACAGAAAGACATGACACGGGGGTACGTTATGGTAAGCTGGCGGACCACGTTAATGGATTCCATGAACCTATCTGAATCATGATCGTGCAGTACTGTGGCCCCCGTCGACCGATGTGGAGATTCCAGAAAAGTTAAAATTTTTTAATATAATAGTAAAAATATGGATTCTCAACAAAGTGGGAATCTTGAAATTTTCTACGGACACCCTTTAAAAGAATTCTTTTTTGAAAGCACCAATTGGCCAATTTGGTCCATACCCCTTACAATAATTTCTTATTTTATGTTTATTTATTATTGATATGTCATAAAAAAATTATATTGATCATGCACAAATCTCGATGCAATATATGGAATTGAGACTTCCAAAATTAAATTGGGGATCATCCAGACACCAATTTCGGCAAACTTATAGTCGAATTGAACATATCGGAAAGGTGATCAAATGACACCAAAATCAGTCTAATTGAAGCACAAATGAGGTCAAATCAATAGTTCAAAGCATATTTAAAGGGTTCAAAGCATAATTTGAATTACCAAACGAGCCATGCTTATATTTCAATCGAGCGACTCGACGAGACGAATCCAAAGAGCCTAAGATAATCAATTTATGATATCATCAAGACATTCAAATGAACAATAAACGGTCTACTATCAAAGGGATCAATATCGGTCATCCATTCAAACAACCCCCATCTTAACCTTGGTCCTCACCATATTTACAAGCCATGCCACTCTAAAAAAACTATAAATAGTTCACATTCTTCACATAAGGGAGGGAGAGAAGAGAGGAGAAAGAAAGAAGAAAAGAGAAGAATTTGATAGCTTGCTTGTCGCCGACCACTGCCGTAGTTCTTCCCGACCACCGCTAGACTTCCGCCCGTCCGCCGAGAATCGCTAGAGATCTTCTAAACCAGTGCTGGACTTTTGCATGTTCGTCGACCAATGTTGGACTTCTCCTCATTCTCCAACCACAACCGGAGTTTCTTCCCCACCACATTTCGCCAACTACAGTACTTCCAACCTTCGTCTCCCGCCGATTACGACCCTTCTGACCGTCGTCGCTTGCCAACTATAATCTTTCTAACCTCCATCGTCCGTCGACTATAGTCTTCTCAACCTCCGTCACCCGCTGACTATGGTCCTTTTAACCTCAGTCGTCCCCCGACTATGATCCTTGAGACCTCTGTCGCCCGACAACTATGAATCTTCCAACCACCATCTCCAACTACAATCTTTTTGACCTTTGTCATCCACTGACTATAGTCATCCCAACCTCTGTCTCCCGCCGATTACGGTACTTCCGGCCACCGTCACCTGATGACTACAGTTTTTTCTAACCTTTGTCGTCCACCAATTACGGTTCTCCCGACCTCCGTCACCTACCAACTACATCTTTCTGACATCCGTTGTCCGTTGACTAAGGTCCTCCCGACCTCCGTCCCCCGCCAACTACGGTTCTTCCAACCACCATCACTGACAACGATCTTTCTAACCTCAATCATCTGCTAACTACGATCCTCCCGACCTCCGTCCCTCGCCGATTACGGTTTTTTCTAACCAACATCTCTAACTACGGTCTTTTTGACTTCTGTTGTCCACCGACTATGGTCCTCCCGACCTTCGCCGCCTCCCGACCTCCTCCGCCAGCTGATTACGGTCCTTCCAACCACCGTCGCATGACTACAATCTTTTCGACCTCCTGACTACGGTCCTTCCGACCACCGTCATTCAACTACGGTCCTTCCAACCTACATCGCTTGCCGAGTATGGTCTTGCAGACCAAACGAATATGTACACATTGATTCTTTCAACTCCCACCCTATAATGCACTCTATATGATATATATTTACTACATCAAGCCAAGATCTTCCTCCTAGGCAAGGTTCTCATTTGTAATCAATTGCAAACACTAGTGGATTCATTCAAACTTGGCAAGGCTTCGTGGTTTTTCTCCTTTTCAGGAGTTTCCACATAAAAATTATAGTGTCCCTTATAAATGCTATAACCTTACTCTCATATATATTTGTGTGTTGGATCTTTGTACAAAAATAAGACGTTAAACTATATCACTTTCTACCGTCGTAAATATTCTATGACACAATAATTATAATAGTTTTGTGTGATATTTTGGATGAAAAAAAAAAAGAAAATTTTGAATGCATATGCCTAATAATGCATTTAATAATTCTGTTATATATTTATATAAAAAAATGTCAAAAAAATTATTCAGGATGAAAAAGTATTATTGGAATAGTAAATAATTTTAGGAATATTACTATAAGCTGTTCGAATATCTCTCTTTTATATGATGAAACAAATAGAAGGTTAATGTTCAATTTTTTTTCTTTACATAAATTAATCTGAATGAAGTCATCACCCCTTCCAATGCAGATACTACAGAGGTTTTTATTTATTTATTATTATTATTATTATTATTATTATTATTGAAAAATCCAAATCAAAGAGGAACAGTAAGGGAACGAGGTCTCACAGTTTATGTCTCAGGGGAGCGGGAATAAGCGGAAAACAGGCACAACCAAAAATTCTGAGATGCTTGTATTGAGGCTTTGTGTTGAAAAGTAGTTCAAATGGTGATTTATTTTGAAGAGTAGCAGAGGGCAGCCGGTTTATTAAGTAAGCTGCGGTTAAGGCAGCATCCGTCCAGAATTTTGTGGGAACAGCCGCTGTGAATAGCAGGGATCGAGTTGTTTCTATGATGTGTATGTTTTTCCGTTCTGCAAGACCATTTTGTTCTGGCATATATGGGCATGAGACTTGATGTTGAATGCCGTGTTCGGTGAGAAAATTTGTGAGTGTGTGATTGGTGTATTCAGTTCCCCCATCTGTACGAAGGCATCTGAGAGGATGCGATGTTAGTTTTTCAACATAGGTTTTAAATTTAATAAATAGAAATGGAACTTCTGACTTATTTCGCATGGGAAATAACCAAGTGAAACGGGTAAAATCATCGACAAACAAAATGTAATATCTATAACCTTGAATAGAGTCCACCGGAGCGGGGCCCCAAACATCAGAGTGCACTAGTTGCAAAGGAATACAAGATCTGTTACCCGATTTTTCAAAAGGGAGCTTATGACTTTTTGCTAACGTACATGACTGACAAAAACTAACAGTAGAATTAATATGCAGATCTTTATTACATTCAGATATGATACTAAGAGTTTTATTATGGGGATGCCCCAGACGGGCATGCCAAGAAACGGAATCTTGAGCAGCTGCTGCAAGTGCAGAGTTCTGAATTGGCGCCGGAACTGTCTTGATAGGATATAAGCCATCAAGGCATGGGCCTTGAAGAAGTACTCGCTGCGTCAATGTATCCTTAAAGATAAAACCATTAGAGTCAAATAAAATCAATATATTGTTGTCTTTGGTGAGCTTGGAAATAGATAAAAGATTATACTTCAGTTCAGGTATATGTAAGATGTGTTCCAGATTAAGCTTACAGTCATTTGTTTTAAGCAAACCTGATCCGGAGTGGGCAACCGGAATGTTTCGGCCATCTCTGATTGTTACGGTGTCTGATCCGGTGTAGGTGTTTGCAAGCGACATGTTCTCCAGGGAGTTTGTCAGATGCGACGACGCACCTGAGTCAAGAAACCAATCGGTAGATGATTGTTCTTGGGTAGCGGCCAGCGCACGGTTTCCAGAGTTTGTATCCCTATTTCCGGATCTTGGAATGTATTGAATGTTGAGTCTGTGCCAGCAGTTGGCTGCATTGTGCCCCTTTTTGAAGCATATTTGGCAAATGGTTCCCGTATCCGATGAAGAACGATTTGAATTGGAGGTGGTATTAGCAAATCGGCCTCGAGATTTCTTGCCCTGTCCTCGAGACGAGTATAGAGCAAGATTCGGGTCAGCTGGAGCATTGATCTTTGCAGAGTCGTGGGCTATGTTCACCTCCTCACTGAGCAACAACGGATATAGATCATCCAAAGTGATCGGAGTGATTATGGTTCGGATTGCTGTTTTGAAAGCTTGATAGGTAGGAGGTAATCCGTTTAATATGTACAGAATAACGTCTTCTGTATCAACGACCGATCCGGATGCGGCAATTTTATCGACCAGCACTTTGATTTTCGTAAGGTATTGAGTCATCGTTGATGTCTTCATGGAAATGTTGTGAAGTTCATTTTTCAGTTGGATTACCTTTGATCGGTTGGTGGCTTGAAATCTATTTTCAAGAGTTGCCCATATCTTGAAGGTGGAGTCAAGATGAATAAGGTATGGTAGAATCGTCGGTGAGATCGTTGAGCATAATGCCGCTGCCAGATTTTGATCGGAGAGTAGCCAGTGCGTGTATTTTGGATTTGGAGCTGTGGTGTTGTCTGCTTTCTTGATTGTTTCCTCGGGGACGGGTGATAGAGGATCAAGAAATTTTTCAAATCCATTAGCGCGCAGGAGCTTGGTGATTTGAGAACGCCACAGAGGATAGTTCTCCGTGGTTAGTTGCGTTGGAATGATGCTCTTCATGTTCGCTATGACGAATTTTAGCGACGAAGGAATGAGAGCTTCTAATTCTTGCATCATCGCGTCTGGCTGTTCGCCGATCTGAGATGTCTCCGATCTCTCCATTCTTTGCGTTTGTATTCTTCACCCCCGCTCTGATACCATGAAGAGATCTTGGTTCTTGAGATGAACCGAACGATCTTGAACTCTCTCAGGAAGAAGATGAAGAATACAAGGAAATTCTAAAAGAGACTTTATTTCCTCATCATACCGAAAGTTACAGATGCTATATTTATAGATAGTAGGTAGACTAGTGGTGTGTGTAATTACAGGTGTGCCATTATGTACAGCCTAGTATTTATATTATTTATTTGTCTTCTAATAAAAGTAAATTTAGGTGAATGATTTTTATTTTGTTTGAAGTAAAATGAATGTAATGTAAAGTTTAAAGATTTTGGTCGACATTGGGTGGCGGAGGTGGTAGAGGGTGGCAGTGATGACCGACGATGGCAGTGCATGGTA